CTTTCTGTGCTAATTCTAGCTATTATATGCCTACTTAAAAATAACCAAAGTTAATAAGTAGTGAACTTGTAAAAGTTTACTGCTGGTGCCTGTATCCAAATGTAATTGCAGTTGTGTAGTATTTTAGTTCTAGTTATTTTTTGCCTTACCGTATTGTTTTATACAATCATTAGTTGCATAAAATATTTATGCAAATATTTAATCATATATTTAGCATTTTATTTTTCCTTTCAGTTCTTTCTTGTATCTAAGACCTTACTTTATGTGCACGTGTTACATCTGAGGTAGACCTTTCAAAAAAAATTTTTTTTTATAAAGGTGTTTTGCTGGTAAACATCTCAGCTGGGTGCATTTTTTGTGTGTGTTCCTGAAAAATACCTTTATTTTGCATCCTTCTTGAGGATTGTTTTGCCATCAATGCAATTTTAGGAGGAGAATCTTTTTTCTTCAGCACATTCAATATATTCTGTTTGCTGGAATCCATTTTTGTTGCGGTGTCAGTGATTAATGTAATTGCCCTTCCTTTATAGCTGACCTGTATTTTCTCTCTGGCCTCATTAAAAGCTTTCTGTTTATCTTTATTGTGTGAATTTATAATTGTAGTTTCTAACTGTCCTGCTTTGGATTTGTTGGGTTGCTCTGGGCTTTCTTTTTGTTTAATTTTTAAAAAGTCATTTTTCTCTGTGGAATATGTCTCATTTCTCTTTCTGTATCACCTTCTTTAAAGGTTGATTGATTGATTGATTGATTTTAGAGAGAAGAGAAGGGAAGGGAGGGAGAGAAACATCAGTGTGTGGTTGCTTCTCACATGCCCCCTGCTGGGGACCTGGCCTACAACCCAGGAAGCTGGGAATCGAATTGGTGACCCTTTGCCTCGCAGGCCAGCACTCAATCCACTGAGCCATACCAGCCAGAGCAGTTATCACCTTGCAATTTGTTTAGATATATGTTTAATCTTTTCACTCAACCTCTGTATCTTATGATTTCTTATTTTATTCTCTCCCTGACTTTGGGCTGCAAACTGTGTTCTTCTGTTTCAGACAAGCTACCTCTTTGAATTCTTGTCCCGCTTGCTTGCTAGCCTGGCAGGGTGATAAGGGCATATGGGAAAGAGGTTTTTTTGCCTGTCCTGGCCTGTCCTTGCCTGCTTGGCTGCTATTTATAATCTCTGGCTCATTTTCAAGTTTCTTTTTGTTTGAAAGTTTTTAAAATTACACTTTATATTTTCTGATACTTTCAGTGTGTTGGAATGCTTGCAAATATTCTGCTGTCCTTTTTCTGTTTATTATTGCTCAAAATGTCTTATTTGCCTATGTGATTGGACTTTTTTGTACTTAGGTGGGGCTTTTTGGTATGTTTGTACATGAATTTTTATGTCTTGAACTTTAGGTGTGGGAATTTTTTGAGGTGTGTTGAAGTTGCATTCTTGCAAAGAGGTTTTAGATTTGTTTTTGTCAGTTATATATGCACATACCAGTCCTAAACTACTTTAAACTTACTTATGTCCTTAAGGTCCCCAACAGGCCTGCATGAGGGCTTGCTTATTTTTTGAATTCTCGGGAAATGGGTTTTGTTTCGTTACTTTTTCCCACTCTCTCCTCTCAGTGCCAAGCAAGTTTTCTTCCTGTCCCTGCAGGGTGACCTTACACAGTGCTCGCCCTTTACAGTGAGGCTAGTGGGGATGAGTTTCCCGAGTGAGTCTCCTATTGGATTCCCTGTCTTTGGTGGATCTTCTATTTTATTTCCCGTCTCTCTTGCTCCCTACAGCTCTCAGAGTGGAAGGTCTCATCTCATAGAATAGAGAAAACGGTAGGTCAGAGGCTTTGTTGGTAGCCCGCCTCCTGGTATTCTTGCTTTCACTGCATTCTTGGTCTTCGGCTTTGTTACTTTTGTGCCATTTCAGTATGCATTTGCAAAGTTTTATTTTCTCAAAGTCTCACATTTTGCTTGTATTTAGAGGGAGCTTTGTTAAGGGCTCTTAAACCTTTATACATTATTCAGTTTTTTCATTCAATACTTTTCCCTAAATTGAGGCTCAGGAACTCCTTTCCTAAATTCAACTTACTACTATACTTACTTTGAAAAGCCTTTATTGTTTAAATCTCTGCTTTTGCTAATAAATGGTAGGTATTGAAAGATTTAAGAATCCTGTGATATTGGAATTTCACCTGAAGTAGATAATGTAGTTCCTCTTTTGGGATAGGGCAGTATGAAGGAGATGAACTTTTTTTTTTGGTCACTCTTGGGTTTTAAGACCTCACTTACCCACCTGTGTGAATTAAGTTTTGTGAGACTCTGTAACATCTTTTAACACTAGCTTGGAGTAGGGTCATTGTGCGCCTTAAATGATAGAACTTAGAGTTTCTGGTAGACGGCCTAGTGTAGTGGTTCAGGAAATACTATGGTTGTCCTTTTAATTTTTAGAAGAGGGAATTGAATTACAATGAGGAAGTATGTATTTGCTACCTACACCAGATTTTGTAATTGTTGAGCTGAAAATCAATTCCCTGTCCTTTCCAGATTTTACCTTTCAGAAAAGCAGTGTTCGGTAACTTATTCTGCCTGTCTGTATATTTCTTGAATACTTCATACATATTTCCAAGGAGCTAACATATTTGGGGAGAGAGAATTTAATAGAATTTAATGTAATACCCATTATGGCAGATTTATTGAATGTTAAGTGAACAAAGATTTGTACTATAATACAGTTCCTGTCTTAGAGAGCTTGGTAGTGAAGTAGGCTTAGCTAATAATTATGGTCACTGTGCTTAGTGTTACAGAAGAAGCATCTCCCTGAGACAGGAGGGATTGTGGGAAACAGGATCATGAAGTAAGTGTAAGATGCCAGGATGTGGGCAGAGGAGGAATGCGCTTTTAGGCAGACGTAACAGCAGCCCGTGCAGAGGTCTGAAGGCTGTCAGGAGCATGTCCTGTTTATGAGACATCTAGGCTGTGTACACCCAATTAACCAGTCATGGTCTGAGAAAAGGAATGTCTCTGGTGGTTATGGATGAGAAGGCAGTTGAGATGTGTCTTAAATGATTGGTCGTGTTTCAGCATGTAAAGATAGAATGGGTAGAATAAAAGCAAATTGAGGAAATCATTTACTTAGCAGTGTAGTCACATTGACTTGGCCACTTGCTCTTAAACTCTCACACCTAAAACAGAGCAGCTTAGACATCAGTTCTTTCTGAGAAATCATCAGGGAATTTTGCGTATCTCGTTAGAGCTTTTATGTGAGAGGGGTTTTTGTTGTTGTTGGGGAGGAAGAAAGAGAGTGGATTTTCTAGGCTTACTCATAAAAAGTGATAAAAAATATTTTGGGGAGGGAGTGTTTGTGACTTTGGATATCCAGTACAATAGTTTAAATTTTATTTGGTAACTATCAGTGATCCATTGTAGCATTTTGAATCAGAGACCTGACGTAGTGATGATTTATCTAGGTGATTTATCTCACCATGCCAGGTGGAATTAGAGGGGAACAGGTCTGAAGCAGCAGGATCACCTCCTACTGTATTTCAGGACTGAAGTGACTAACATTTGAATAACTGGTAGTAACAATAACAGTAAAAGAAAGGACATTGTGAGGTTGATTTATAAAAAGAATTGACAAGTTCTAAGAAATGATTGAAGATAAGGCCCTGGCCAGAGCGGTTCAGTTGGTTGGAGCGTCGTCTCATACACCAAAATGTTGTGGGTTTAATTCTGTCAGGGCACGTGCCCAGTGTCCAGTTGGCATGCGTATGAGAGGCGATTGATAGATGTTTCTCTCCCTCTCACTCTCTCCTTTACCCTTTCTCTAAAAATCAATTTTTAAAAAATTCTGAAAAAGAGAAATGACCGAAGATAGGATTTGGAAGACAAGCAGGACTTGGAAATGTTGATGAAATTTCATACTTGGGTGACTAGGACATTTTTTGTTTATTTTTTTAAAAGATTTTTTAAAATTAAATTATTTTTAGAGAGCGGAAGAGAGAAAGAGAGGGAAACATCAGTGTCTGGTTGCATTTCACGTGCCCCTTCCTGAGAACCTGGCCTGCAACCTAGGCATGTGCCCTACACTGGGAATTGAACTGGTGACTCTTTGCTTTGCAGGCCAGCGCTCAATCCACTGAGCCACACCAGCTAGGGCGGACATTTTTTTTATATTAGCAAAAGATAACACATTAGTAGAAAAAATAGTTGTGGGGGAAAACATTATTTGTTATTTATTGGATGTGAAGTGAATTATAAGGTACACTTTAGGACATATCCTTTGAAAAAGTAAGTTTTTAAAATTGCGGTTAGTCTGTGGTTAGGCAGTGTGGTCTTGTGTCGGCAGCATAAGTTTTGAAGACAAGACTGTATTCCATATCACCTTTAATACGTATCATTGTTCTGAGACTGGAAAGTCATAAATCTCTTTGGATTTTACTTTGTTCATCTCTAAACTGGAGATACCAATACCTGCTTACAGGGCGGCTGTGTCAACTAAATAGTATGGTGTATATGCATGCTGGCCCATTTCAAGCCTTCAGTAAATATTTTCCCTTCTTCCTTAAAAGAGGCTAGCCTTACTCTTCGCTATTGTCATACATTGAGATGGACACCAAACACTAATACATTAATGTTTGTAAACTGATGGAAATCTAATCCTTGATTGTTTGCTAAATAAAATAAGCACATAATCAGGCAGTTTGTAATTAGACTAGCAAAGAAGTTAAAATTACTGAATATGTAGGTGTAGTTAACAGCCTTCATTTCTGGTAAGTGACTTTACTTAGAGGATATATGTTTATGTAAGCAAGGCTGACTATTTCCTGGAAGGAAACTGGTTTTCAGATCTTTAGAAAAAATGTCACTTTTAATCTTTTTGAGCTTATGAGCATTATACAGTTTTCTTGAGGCAGTTTCTTGCTAGGAGTAAATGAAGCCTCCTTATGAGCTTGTTAAGACTCCATAGACTGTCAGTAATATGGAAAAATTGGATATTCAATCAGGAATGTGAACATGTGTTTCAGGTAGAGAATTCCAAAGATAATGAAGATAATATTCTCCAAAGAGAAATTCCGGCCAGACAATCTCGACGAAGGTTCCGGAAAATTAACCATAAAGGAGAGCGCCAAACCATTACTGATGATGTGGACATTAACAGCTACCTTTCTGTGAGTATATTTAGGAACATTTCGTGGACCTTTCTTAATTTTCATATACAGTGTCTTAGTTTTACATATATTTTGGTGATATCAACACTTTGAACTCTACGTGTAAAAGTTTGAGGCCAGGAAATATATCTACGTAATTTTTTAAAATATTTCTGCTTAGTTGAGTTGGATAGAAATATTCTTACCAGTGAGAGTTTTGTTTTTATTTTCCTTTTAAATAATGTAAAAAAAAAATTCTTAATGTATTTTTTAAGACCTGTTTGTGGATTTTCTTGCCTGAATTGGAATGTGGATTAGAGTCCTGAAAACTCAGGTAATGGACTCATTGGGAGCTTTTCCTGGTAGCGCTGTAAGACACACAACAGAAAAATATGTCGGTTCTGCCCTTCAGGTGTGGGACAGATAGGCATAATGCATGTTATTCCAGAGACACATGCAGTTGTTAAAGGTATATTTCACATGCAAATATTGAAAAAGAAGCAGATGAGATAATTAACTTGTATAACATCAGAAGGAACATCAGCTCTCTCTTCAGAAGTCTTCAGTTTTTTAAATGTAGATAACTTCATTTTAGACTGAAAAGTAGTTGAATCAAGAAGTAAGGATAATCTGAAAAAGAATAAATCCAGGTGTATTTTATCAGTTTTCGAAGGGGTCATCCTCCAAAATATAAAAGCAGTCTAGAGATTGATCACAGCAAAATTATTGAGGGTATGTTTAGTTCCTTTTGTTGTCAGAAATAGAAATTTACTTATTCCATGTCAGGAACAGAGAGAAATATTTATAAAGGGAGTAGTTTATCCTGGAATATGTGTTAAATTTAAGGCAGCTCTAAGGATTTAGTCACATTTCCCTAATTTCACTGATTCAGTACATTCTATTTTTAACAGCAAACAATAACTAACTGTACTACATTTTTTAAAATGCATCCAGATCATACAAAGTTCTTTTCCTGTTCTGATGATTTAGTAATTTATTTTTTATAATAAATTTCCCCATCACTAATTTAAGCCAACATGTTTTTCCTTATTACATAAGTAATACGTGTCTACTTTAAATATGTCTAAATTTAAAAGTTGATCAGTCTTACATATATACCCATTGTCTTAATAATGTCTTGATACTCCACTATAAAAATTGCTATAATTCAGTTCTGAATATTAGGTCATTTAGATTTCTTTGTGGTCATATATGCTCATATCTTGATTTCTTTAGGAAAAATCTTGAGTAGAATTGCTAAATTAAAATATCTTTGTTGCTATTTTGTTCTCCTTGTATGAGTTAGAGTGTGTAGCTTTTGTGTTTTGATTACTGGCTTATTGTCTTCTCCACTTTAGTGTTCTCTTCCCATGTTTTCTAGTGTCTGAAAGTTGTCCTCTCAGGGATATGCTGGCTTCCTGAGTAGCCAGGAGGAGCAGTAGTCACACTGCTTGGGATCCTGTCCGTCGGATGACTTTAAATAAAGACTGGCATTTTTGCATGTGAAGGTTTATATAAAGAGTTTTGGGTGGTTATCCTACTAAGTACCATCAGGAATTTGGCAGATAATGGAAGGGGGAGAACTAGTTGATTCAGATTTAGATAAAACTGATTTATTAATCATGAGACTAGGTTAGAGAAGGATTTTGGGTCATGTTACTTGCATTTGGTATTTCTAGAAGTAATAGGATTTTTTTGTCTAAACAAGACATATATCAGGTACCTTAGAAATGTATTAAGAGGTTTTCACTTACTTATATTAGTTATTCTTCATTTCACCAATTATGTAAAATCTTTGCATCTGGCTGATTCCTAGGTAAGTGGTCTGGGTAAGAATACTGTGTAGCAAAAAATCTTAATTAGTAATAATTAAGCATCCAGTAATCAAGCATCCAGTAGAGAATTGGTGTTATGGCTACTTAGAGGTTTTTTCTTTCTTTTGTTTTACTGGCAGCAGTTCAGAGAGAAAAATCAGGAGGAATCATTTCAGAGTTTCTTTTCTCATTTGCAAACCATAATCAACTTTTTCTTGCTAGAGTGCTGAGGGTCAAAATTCTTAGAGCTGTACCAGAAGCCTTTGTTGCTGCTGTTTTCTCCATCATAATTATTAGTTCATTACCTATACATCAAGGTTTTGTAAATATGAAGGGTTTTGCATGTGTTTTCTAACTGAATGCTTGTAATGATTGAAAAAGATAGTTTATTCTTATAAAATACTTTCATAGTTTTGTGATGCATTGCTTTGCATAAAGATGAGAACCATATTTTTATTTAAATTTGCACCTGAGGATATGTTTATTGATCTTAAAGAGAGAGGAAGGGAGGCTGGGGAAGAGAGAAACGGATGTGAGAGAGAAACAGTAATCAGTTGCCTCCTGCATACACCCAAACTGGGGATCAAACCCGCCACCAGGTATGTGCCCTGTCTGGGAATCAAGCCCAGAACTTTTTGGTGCATGGGACAACTCTCCAACCAACTAAGCCACCCACGCAGGGTAAGAGAACCATAAGTTTAATGTGAAAGTTTTTTTTTTTTAATGTTAAAAAGAGCATCTCTGTTACATTTTGAAACTCCTTTGGCTATTGCTATCAGAACTTGCAACAAATTTAAATGCCTCCAGATTTCCTGGGGATTTCAGAGCTTCGATCTTTTGCAAGGGTGTATTTGATATTCAGAAAAAGCAAAAAGGTTATTGGAAGCAATATTTGATGACGAGGATGGATGATTAGGCCAAGTGGAAATAGTCTAATACAGTGATTTTCAGCCTTTTTCATTTCATGGCACACATAAAGTAATTACAGAAATTCTGTGGCACACCAAAAAATACTATTGTTTGTTGATTTGACCCAAAAAAACAGGTATAATTTTGATTGATTTACAAGAAAATACTAGTAATCACAGTATTTTGCTGAGTATAATGCGCTCCTGTGTATAATGTGCATGTTTTTGGCCCAAACTTTCAGGAAAAAAGTCTTTGGTTTTAATTTTTTAATCCAATTATTTATATTTAGATACTTGTTTTTTTGTATTATAAAGGAACTTTAGTGTTATTTTTGAACATATTATGGCACAAGAAATTGTATATAACAAATAATTGCAAAAAACAAGAACAAGGTATTTCAGGTACTACCCATGTATAATGCACATCGTTATTTTTCCCTCAAAAGTGTGGGCCAAAAAAGTGTGCATTATACACAGTAAAATACAGTACTTACACTTTTTGCTCCAAAGTGACTTTTTTAAAAAATCAAGTGCCTATATTTGTATATAAGGATTTCTGGCACCAAGAATTAATCAGCCAGACACAACCTTATTATGAATGTGACCAGTAAGATGCAACTCTCTTATATGGCCTATATATTTATGGTTCAAGACAGGGCATTCACACTGAACAGCTAATTGTTGTTTTTTCTGTTGTCATATTTTTGATTTGAAACTCTAAGTGTAGAGAGATCAGTGCATCTGACTAAATAGTCTTGTTTTACAAATTCTTGCATGCCCTGGCCGGTGTGGCTTGGTTGGTTGGAGTGTTTTCCCACAAAGCAAAAGGCTGTGAGTTCGATTCCCAGTAAGGGCACATGCCTGGGTTGTGGGTTTGGACTCCAGTTGGAGCATGTACAAGAGGCTACCGATTGATGTTTTTCTCCTTCCCTTTGCCACTCCCTAAAAATCAATAAGCATGTCCTTGCATGACAATTAAAAAAATAAAATAGTCATAAAAAAAACTTTGTGTGAACTGGTTGAAAATTGCTGGTCTGCATAACCTTTGGTATTAGATAAGCTATCTTTCTTGAATCCTTCTTTCTACTAACTACATGATTGGTGTTTTTCATCCAAACCTTTTGTGCTTTGGTTGCTTTACATCTAAAAATGAGGATGGTAGGATTGGGTCTGCCTGTCTTATTGAAGTACTTGGAACATACAAGAGGGAACCAAAAAAAACTAGAATTATCTTTTGGAGGGTGGGCCCTTACAGTACAGGCTTCCCACCTAGGTGAGTGTCGTATGAACTGATTTATATCAGTGTACCAGCTGGTGGTGTTGTGAGAGGCTGCATCCAGCTTCAGTGAATTTTTTATTATACTTTATTAATTATGCTATTACAATTGTCCTGATTTTTTTCCCCTTTGCAGCTCCCCCACCCAGTACCCCCCACTCTCTCAGGTAATCCCCTCTCCATTGTCCACGTCAGTGGGTCATGTATATAAGTTCTTTGGCTACTCCATTTCCTATACTGTACTTAACATCCCCATAGCTATTCTGTAATTATCTATTGTACTTCTTAATCCCCTTACTTCTTCATCCATTGCTCCACGAACCCCCACCTGGCAACCATCAAAATGCTTTCTGTGTCCATGATTCTGTCCCTGTTCTTCCTATTGGCTTAGTTTTTTGTTTTTTTGTTTTTTTTCCCCCACATTCAATTGTTGATAATGTATTTCTACCATTCTGTTGTTTATAGTTTTGACGATCTTTTTCTTAAATAAATCCCTTGAACATTTCATGTAATGGCTTGGTGATGATGAACTCTTTTAGTTTTGTCATCTGGGAAGCTCTTTATCTGCCCTCTGGTTCTAAATGATATCTTTGCTGGGTATAGCAGTCTTGGCTGTATATGCCTACTTTTAATCACTTTGAATATTTCTTGCCAGTCCCTTCAGGGCCGCAAAGTTTCTTTTGAGAAATCAGCTGACAGTCTTATGGGAGCTCCCCTGTAGGTAACTGACTTCTTTTTTCTCACTGCTTTTAAGATTTTCTCTTTATCTTTAACCTTTGGCATTTTAATTATGATGTGTCTTGGAGTGGGCCTCTTTGCATCCATCTTTTTGGGACTCTCTGCTTCCAGGACTTGCACATCTATTTCCTTCACCAAATTAGGGAAGTTTTCTTTTATTATTTTTTCAGATCTCCAATTTTTTGTTCTTTCTCTTCTTCTGGCACCCCTATGATGTGAATATTGGACCTCTTGAAGTTGTCCCAAAGGCTGCTTATACTGTCCTCATTTTTTGGATTCTTTTTC